CCCATCATGCTGTAGATATGCACGCAGGATTGCACCCGTTTATGTTGGATGCATAACCGAAGTGCGAAATCGGCGTCGTATGGAGGAGGAGAGGACGGCTGAGACTCTAGATATTGCAACAGAGCGCCCTCCGTTGTAGATGGATGGGAGGCGTAGATGGATATTAGGGTATTATGTACGGCAGCAGAAGGGTTGGGGTGGTTGGCAATGATGAAGTTCAGGTATCTCGTTGCTTGGTTCTGGGACAGAGACGTCTTGGTGTCCTTGTTGTAGCTGAGCAGGGCTGGGATGAGCTTCTGGGGGTCAAGGTCCGTCTGTCTCATCAGTATGTCCACAAACTCGCTGGCAGCGTATGTCATTAGCACGCTACTATACTTGTAGAACACTTCTGGGTCTTTCTGCTTCTTCAGCACGTTGAGTGCCTCAGACCATTTCTCCCGTTGAACCCAGTACGACAGCACAAAGTTATGGTCGTTGATGGTAGTCGCAAAGTACAGCAGCTCCTGTTCTCGCCCATGGCTGCCTATAATATCATAGACCGTTCTCGGGTCCAGGTCGGCCTTGTACTTGTTCACAAACTGCTGGAACTCAGAACGTATGCTTTGGATGTCGTCTTTAGCATCATCTTCGTTGCCGCCCTCGACCAGCTCGGCCTTGGTAGCAATGGTATCATCCAGGGAGTTCAGCTTTGACATGAACACCTCAACCAGCCAGCTCGCTATCATCATTCTCTGCATGGTAGCTGACTTTTTGTACGTCGACAGCTGGGTGAGGAGATATTTCCTCAGGGCATCATGCTCTCCTTTATCAATAAACGTAAGGCAAACCTCTTCGAAGCTTTTGCTACTTTTACCCCAAACTGCAGCAGCTTCAAGGTACTGTCCCTTGCTGGCCAGATGGTCACCCGAAGCAGTGGCCACGGCGTCCTTTTGGGTGACGCCATGGGCATATCGGAGTGCAGAATCGAACTGCTGCTCTTTCAGAAGGATCCTCCATACGTCTCTATCTTCGTCATTGGCGGATATCTCGTATATCTCCTGACCGGTAAAGAGCCAGTAAGTATTCATCTTTTGGTCTGCAACGAGACCGAGAGAGCTCTCGCCTGGTTCAAGCACTGCTTGATCGTATACAATCTCTCCGTTTAACCGGTTGATTGCAACGATTCTCCCTTCAACCAAGGTAAGGATATGCCACTGTGTCATGGTCATCCCTTTAATAGGATCCTGAATCAGCTTCCTGCCCCCCCTCGCGGACTCTGTAGCCGGTAAGATCGAACGGGAGACCATCTTGGCCTTGTCGAATATCCTACTCCCTCCGTCTTGGTTGGGAGCCGAACTAGGTACGGTGCCATGAAGGACTCCCAGCGAAGAAAGCCAAGCAAAGTGCTTTTCCTCTACTCTGCCATCACTGTGTCCTTCTTCTAAGGGGTCCGGCTGCATGGCTAGAAGAGACGGTGCGGTGAGCGTGGCGCTGGAAAGCTCGTGAATAACCGGTGTCTCCTTGCGGAACAGTTCACTGTATATCGATCCTCCTCCTCCATCTTTCCCATTTCTCCCTATCTTGCCCGTGAAGTAGAGTATTTTCCCGTTGGACGACACGATGATCTGCCGGGTATCTTTCCTGCCACCGACAAAGTCGACCCAAACGCCAGTCACTGACAGACTAGGCACCTTGTACACCGTGTTGACATATCTCTCATCCCTGCGGTAGAATTCCGAGGCAGATTCGATGTATACTTCGTACAGATTCCCATCCGTCGAACCCACGAGGATCTCTCTAGTAGAAGCGGTAGGCAAGGCCGGATTCCAGGCAATGCACTCTATCATCACCCCCTTGAGGCGTGAGAGTGGTTTAGGTTGTCGAGACTGGGTGTGAAGATAGTAGTTCTCTCCCAGGGTAGTCGATATAATCAAATGCGAGGCGGAAGGGTCCAAAAACATGCGGCGGATGACGCCTATCTCAGGTGATTTCTTCGGCAGGTCGATATCTACGTCAACGTCAGTACCTTGTCACCGCTTCAGCAGCCAGAAAACAATGTGTAATAAAGCATACCATCGATATCCTCTGCGTTATTCAGGTCGATTCTCAGGATCCTGCCTGTGGCCAGGGCGAGGATAAGCACATCGTTGGCGACCTGGGCTGCGACGAAGTCGGCTGCGATGGAGAACTTGAGCTGGACTTGCTTGACGCTGAAGATGGGCTGCGAAGACTCGGCCAGCTTGGCCAGGCTGCTGGCAGCTACATAGCCACTGGATCCGTCCAGCGCCATGGTGCGCAGTGAGGGTGGTTTGGCTGTTATATCATCGCGCGGTGTCGAGTTGATGCTTGGAGCTGTCGCTAGTCGTAGGCGTAGCTGGAGCTCAGCGTTTAAACCAGTTAAATATCGTCACGCCAAGCGGGAGGAGCCAGCCAGAAGTAAACACAGCATCCAGCAGTGAGTCTACAGAGACGGCGAGGGTATAGCTTGGTGATATTAAGCAAGGATGGTCATGGACGTATAGAGCTTACTCTGCTGCTCCATTGCTCTGCGTCGTTCTTTTCCTTCCTCGATGCTTGAAGACACAGCAGCTAACGAACTGAGCAGACAGCATGATTATTTACCTAAGTTAGCCAGCCATCCATCACCATCAACCAGCATTCAACCACAGCTCCAGCATGCAACTATGGCTGTGAAGGGTGTTCAACTGAACTAGGAAGCTGTCGGCAATGGAATAGTGCAGAATCTTACGGCTATAGCTATCTTTAACCAGCTTACGCGATGGAATACAGGCTTCACCGTTGCTACGAAGAATATAGATATAGAGAGCATCTGCAACTGTCCATATAAGACTCCTCAGTCGGCGCGAGAGCTATTCAAGAGAGATCAGGCCTTCCACGGCCTTTCATCACTGCTTCAGGGCGTTCTACACCTTATCTGTTGGGCAACGAGACACTTATTATTAGATGGTGCAGGCTGCGGAATAACCGACCAACTTCTACCACGAGGCTGTATCCGTTTTTAACCTGGCAACACTCGTGATGAAGAGCCATGACTGCCTTGCTGTCGGCAATCTTCCCTGGCCTTGCAAAAAGGAAGGTGTCCTCATTGTACTGGCTGGCTGGCTCCCTGGCCGGCTGTCTTACCGTGTTTATACACGGAAATGCGCAGAGCCGGCAGCATCAAAAGACAGCTACGGAGAAAGAAAGAAAAGGCCGTCTCTATCAAACGGCTAATGCCATCCTCCCTTAGTTAGCTAGCTGTTATGCCTCTTGCATTCTGGCGGCCATCCTCTACTCCTGGCCCGTATGCCAGGACAGGCCGTAGATATGTATTGATATCGCCTGCCAGCGGGCCAACGTAGCCATATCCCACTGTATCAGCCCGCGGCCGGTCTCAGCATCGCCCCAGCCATCCCATACCATCTCTGCCTCTCCTTTTCTCGTCTCCCTCACCTTCATCGCCGTCACTCCCACTCCATCCAACTTCAGCTTCACTCATCACGTGACCATATCCCCAGGCGAAGGTTTTTTGGCTGCAAGAGGAAGAAGAAACAAAAAAAACCGCCAGGAAGCAGAACTTCGCTTCTCTTCTTCGCCTCTGCTCGACCTCATCCTGCCCGTCGTCTCGCATCGCCCGTCGGCCTCACTTGCGACGCCCATTGCCGCCCCGTCTCTGCGTTTCTCCCTCTGCCTGGCCTGTCCTGCCCTGGCCTCACTTCGTCGCCATCTAGATCCCGCGACCCAGCCAGCCTGCCCATGGAGCGTGTCCTCTGAACGAGGCAGCCCCTTCGTCGCCAGCTCAAGAGCCACCACCGGACGGGCTGAATTGACCCTCCAGCAGCTTCAGCAGCCATGACGGGAGCTCCGCCGTACTCCTCGCGCTCGCCGTCCCAGCAGGCTCGCTATCTCTCCTACTCGCCGTCGCGGGACCGTCCATACTCTGGCTCAGATGCCTCTTCCTACCAGCAGCAGCAGCAGCAGCAGCAGCAGCAACAACAACAGCAACAGCAACAGCAACAACAGCATCAGCAACAGCAGCAACATGGGCAGCAGCATCCGCCCCATACGCCGCCTGGCTTCGGTGCAGCTAGCCGAAGTCCGCACTACAATCACCCTACATCGCCCATGAACACCACTTTGCCGCCCTTGAATGGCGCGGAGCCTTCGCCGGCTTACCACGCTAGCCATCCGGCCTCCAACCAGCCCGGATACTCCTTACCACGACCGTACAGCAGCTCGCTGATGTCGAATTCAGCTCACTCGCCGACTCCGGGCATCTTCAACCATACGCCTACCCACACGCGTCCAGGAAGCATGGGAGACACCGTCATGCACTCTCCAAAGCGCGAGCCTGATATCCCTATCGACTCGCGCTCAGGAAATCCCATCTACTCGACTTCTCAGCCTTCCATGGCCCGCGAGGCAAGAGCTACTACTCCAAAGGAATCTGTCAGTTATCTCGACCTAAAAACATGTCTCCTTTATGCTTTTTTTTCCTTTTCCTTCTTCTGTTTCTTTTTTTTTTTTCAACCTTCATATCAAGTCTTGTATTACTGACAAACATGCCTTATCAGAAACCTGCAAGAGCTACGGATCCCATGTCCTTTGCCAGCATTCTCTCAGGCCCGGCAGAAGAACGCCCTCGAAAGGCCTCTGTCCCGCCAGTCAAGGCCAGTGAACCGCCATCCCGGCCTGTCGCCGCACCTGCTCCCAAACCGGCTCCCAAACCAGCTTCCAAGCCCGAGCCCAGGGTGCTAGAGTCCGATAAACGACGCCGGCATCACAACTACGACTCTGCATACAGTGAAATTGCGCCAAAACCCGTTGCGAATGGCGCAGCTCCTGCAAAACCTGCAACTCCCTTGGCTCCTACGAAACAGCCTTCTTCACAATCTCGGAGCGAGTCAAATGCCGCCAGTGCGCTGGAACGCTTGGATAATATTGACAAGAGCGACCTCGAAGCTCCTGGATTTGAAGATGAGTGGCACCGATATATCATTAAAGGGAGAAAACGCGCTAGAGAGGCGGAAGCACAGGATAATCAGAAGAGAAAGGTGTGTACCCATCTCCATACGGTTTTTATATCGTTGTTGCTAATGTTATCAGCGCCGCCGAGCCAACTTTTTGGGTAAACTAGCCCGTGTGTTTGAGAAACAAGCCATGGCTGGCACCGAACGCTTTGCTAGGCTCCATGAAGCTGAAGTGATAGAGGAAGTTCAGCAAAAGGAGATCATGGATGAAAAGGAACGCAAAAAGGATATGCAGCGGAAACGGCGGCGTGAGAATACTGTTCGTGCTGAGATGGAGAAGATCCAAGCCGCCCAGAAGAAGGTCAGCAAGATGGAAGACGATGCCGAGAAAGAGAAACTGCAACGTGAAATTGCCCGGTCTCGCAAGAAGATTAAACACACAAAACATGTTCTCGAGACCGGATCTGCTCCCCAGGAGATCAGTGAAGTAGCTCCTCTGTCGCCAAATCTTGAGGGCGGCACCACAGGTTCATTCCATACTCGTGACAAGCCTTCTCCCAGCAAGAAAAGACCGAGCAAAGGTGGCTCCGCTGCTCGACCCAAGAAGACCAAGGAACAAAAACAGGCTGAGAAGGATGCCGCAGAGGCTGCCTATGCCGCCATGGAGGGTGAAGAACCATCTGCATCCGCCTCCAAGGACAAGAAGCCGGCCGCGAAAAAGGAGGCCAAGGCCTCAAAGGAACCCACGCCCGCACCTGTTGCGACATTCGACACCAAGGGATACACTCAACTATACGAACAAATCTGGAGAGATATGGCTCGCAAGGATATTCCCAAGGTTGCTCGTATGAAGACCACCTCTCTCAATATTCGTCAGGAGAACTGCCGCAAAACAGCACAACTCGCCAGCAAGCAGGCAAGGAAATGGCAAGACCGTACCAATCGCAGTACCAAGGATACCCAGGCCAGAGCCAAACGAACTATGCGTGAGATGATGTCTTTCTGGAAGAGAAATGAACGTGAAGAGCGTGATCTGCGCCGAATGGCAGAGAAACAAGAGCTGGAGCTCGCCAGGAAGGCGGACGCAGACCGTGAAGCCAACCGCCAGAAACGAAAACTCAACTTCCTTATCTCCCAGACTGAACTGTACTCCCATTTCATTGGCCGGAAGATCAAAACCAGTGAAGCTGAGCAATCCGGGGATACCACTGCTGCTCCAGCCGCTGACAGCAAGCCTACCGACGCCGCAAAGGAACCGGAAAGCTCGCTCAATGTACCCGAAGACGTTGGCGACCTTAGTGCAAAGGTCACCAACTTTGAGGATCTCGACTTTGATGCGGAAGATGACACTGCGTTGAGAGAAGCCGCCATGGCCAACGCTCAAAATGCGGTTAAACAAGCCCAGGACCGTGCTAAGGCGTTCAACGAACAGGATAACAAGATGGCTGCCTTTGATGAGGGTGAAATGAACTTCCAAAACCCTACAAGTTTGGGCGATGTTCAAGTTGCACAGCCTAAGCTGCTTAACTGCCAACTGAAGGAATATCAATTGAAGGGTCTCAATTGGCTAGTCAACCTTTACGAGCAGGGTATCAACGGTATCCTTGCCGACGAGATGGGCCTTGGGAAGACTGTCCAATCCATCTCCGTCATGGCGTATCTTGCTGAAGTCCACAATATCTGGGGTCCGTTCTTGGTCATCGCGCCGGCTTCAACACTTCACAACTGGCAGCAAGAAATCACCAAGTTTGTACCGGATATCAAAGTTCTTCCATACTGGGGTTCAGCCAAGGATCGAAAGGTGCTGCGTAAGTTCTGGGATCGCAAACATATCACTTACACCAAGCAATCCGAGTTCCATGTCCTGGTGACATCCTATCAACTCGTGGTGCTGGACGCTCAGTACTTCCAAAAGGTCAAATGGCAATACATGGTTCTTGACGAGGCTCAGGCCATTAAGTCCTCACAGAGTTCAAGATGGAAGAACTTGCTTGGCTTCCACTGCAGGAACCGATTGCTGCTCACGGGTACACCGATCCAGAACAACATGCAGGAACTATGGGCTCTTCTACATTTCATCATGCCTACACTTTTCGATTCCCACGATGAGTTTAGCGAGTGGTTCTCCAAGGACATTGAAAGTCATGCACAGAGTAATACCAAACTGAACGAAGACCAGCTTAAGCGACTACACATGATTCTCAAGCCGTTCATGCTTCGACGTATAAAGAAGCATGTCCAAAAGGAACTTGGCGACAAGGTCGAGAAGGACGTCTTCTGCGACCTCACGTATCGACAGCGAGCGTACTATGCAAGCCTCCGAAATCGTGTCAGCATCATTGATCTTATTGAGAAGGCTGCCACGGGTGAAGAAGCTGATAGCACTACGCTGATGAACTTGGTCATGCAGTTCCGTAAAGTCTGCAACCATCCTGACCTGTTCGAGCGCGCGGATACTTCTTCGCCATACTCCATGTGTCATTTCGCTGAGTCCGCTTCTTTCGTTAGAGCGCCGCCGTATGTTCCCTATTCGACTCGCAGCCTGATAGAGTATGATCTACCAAGGATGCTCTGCAACTCTACGGGACGTCTCGACATTGCTGGACCTGGCAATAACAAGGCAGGGTTTGATGATAAATACCTCTCACATTTAATGAATGTGTGGTCGCCGCAAAACATGCGACACAGTCTAAGCAAGGATGATGCCTTCTCGTGGCTTAGATTCACCGACATTTCGATGGAAGAGGCCCACTCAATTTCTAAAAAGGGTGTGTTTGAACGGGCATTGGAGCGCCATGGTGTTGAGAACCGTCTGGCACGACTCTCAGTTGTTTATGATGACGATGAAACGAGCACAAATTCTCTTCTACCGCATTCGTTATTCAACATTGTCGACCGCAACGGCCGGTCGGAGTTGGTGAAACCGGGCTCTTCCGGCTACCTGCGTGAGCTGTACAACGTTACCCAGGCGGTAATCGATAACCAAGGAATTCTTGGATTCGAACCTTGCGGTAAATTTGATGCTAACGCTCCTCCAATCATGATATCGTCCGCTTCGTCTGTGCCAGGCTTCGAGGCTCAAAATACCTTCTTCAACATCCAGGCTCGCCAGGCTTTGATTGGATCAACGACTCGAGGCCTCGACGAAGAGATCCTAAATCACAAGGTTGACCCCTTGCCTTACTCGTGTGCACCAATGCTGCCAAAGCCAGGCTCCGCGAAACGAGGATATACCAATATCACTGTGCCGTCTATGAGACGCTTTGTCACTGATTCTGGCAAACTAGCGAAATTAGACGAGCTTCTCAGGGAACTGAAGAACGGTGGCCACCGTGTACTGCTATACTTCCAAATGACTCGCATGATTGACTTGATGGAAGAATACCTCACCTACCGCAACTACAAATACTGCCGACTAGACGGTAGTACCAAGTTAGAAGACCGTCGAGACACCGTATTGGATTTCCAACAACGGCCCGAAATATTCATATTCCTCCTCTCCACCCGTGCCGGTGGTCTAGGTATAAACTTGACTGCTGCCGACACCGTTATCTTCTACGATTCCGACTGGAACCCAACAATAGACTCCCAGGCCATGGACCGAGCCCATCGTCTCGGTCAGACAAGACAAGTCACAGTCTATCGTCTAATCACCCGTGGAACCATCGAGGAGAGAATCCGTAAACGAGCTCTCCAAAAGGAAGAAGTGCAACGTGTCGTTATATCCGGCGGTGCAGGCGGCGGCGTTGATTTCAACACCCGAAGCCGTGAGAACCGTACCAAGGATATCGCCATGTGGCTTGCGGACGATGATGAGGCAAAGATCTTGGAGCAAAAGGAGAAAGAAGCTCTTGAGAAGGGAGAAGATGCCGCAGCTGCACCTAAGAAGGGTAGAAAGGCTGCTCCCAAGAAGAAGCGGGACGTCACACTGGATGACATGTATCATGAAGGTATGCATTTCCACTCTTGCTCTAAGCTCCACACACAGTGCGTATCATTTACTTACTATTATTGCAATATAGGTGAGGGCCACTTCGACGATCTTAGTGCCAGACCTTCCGGCACCGCAACACCTCTATCCGCAGACATTGAAGCACCTGCTGCAGGGCCATCAGGCAAGGGAGGTCGTCGACGCGCTCCAGCAAAAGGCTCCTCTAAACGGGCCAAAACCGCCAAAGAACGTCTCCAATTCATCGATGGTGACGACTAATTAATCAAAAAGAAAAGAGAAAGAGAAGATCCCACCATACATCTAACTTCTCGCGAGAAAGAAAACAAATATCGTTTTCCAGCCTCCCGCTCGTTCGTTCCGTCCATGCTTGTATTTTTCGCCTCTCCTTACTTTGCCTTTGACTCTTAGTAGTCATCGAATGTTGGCCCCTGCCACAACCATTTCCAACCCTTCCTTATTATCCCATGTGCTTTTAAGATATACTCTTGTACTTTTTTTTGTCTAGCTTATGCCTTTCTATTTTTCGCTGTTAAACTAGGTAGCTCTTTTAGTTGGGATTTCTGTGGCCTGATTGACTCGAGGTGGGAGTTTTCAGGAGGGAGGATGATACACGTATTAATATATTGGGAGATGATGCATTATTGATATTTTTTTTTGGTTTCTTTTACATGATTATATCAAGGGGATCGCTCACATTGCTTATGCTGTAAGCTATCGAGACCGAAATAGGGGATTGGCAGGCGAGAAAAGTGAACTGACTGTCTATAATTCTAATTAGGACCTTGTTAATGTATGAATGAGATGAAAACATATTCATTTATGACAATATTATTTAACCCTGCAACACTGTAGCAAAAGGCAGGAAAGAAATGGCTCTACTCTATGAATACCATAAAAGAAAGCGAGGTAAGGGGCCAGGGTAGATATAACGAAAGGGTAAAAGTACAAGACCTAAATAACGTGAACAATAGGGGGAAACTGTATAAAAAAACGAAGTCATAATGATAAACCATGTGCAAAATGAATCATTCATACAGCATCAGGTCCTTTACGCCCAGATCCAGATGGGGATCCAGAACCAGACCCTTGGTCGAGAAGCAGCTTTGGCTTGATGTATTCATCGTCAAGGTGTTTAAACCACGTAGCATGGTCACGGTTGCCACTCAGCAAATCACGGAATGCATCAGTGGCAGCTGCGATAGGTCGAGATGAAGACGATGGTTCTGCTTGAGCGGTGTTGGCGAATGGTCCATCGCCGGAGTTATGAGCCGATATTGATCGGGGTTGGGATTGAGTGCGACGTTGAGCCTGCGAGGCTGCGGGAGGCAAATCATCGTCAGAGAACGCGGCGTCAACTTCAAGGTCGAAATCTTCGATATTCATACCCATATCACCGGTTCCTCTGGCGTTTCGTCCAGCACGGCTTCTGTCATGGCTCATATCAATATCAATACTGCTACCACTGTGGCTCCCGCTTCTACTCCCAAGCAGTTCTTGAGCTGAAGCTCCATCTCGAGATCTAGCACGATCTTTTCTAGAATATGAGGATTTCTTTCTTGAGAGACTACCAGGACCTTCAGGAGCCTGCGGGGTTAGCCGCCCATTGCTACCGCTTGAGAAGCCATGGCCGGCCCTATTGATCTCATGTTCTCTTGCCACGGAGTCCAGCTGGAAATCGCTTCTGCGTGGTGTGTGGCCCATTCCAGTTCCTGATCGCTTATAGTATGTGCCACCATTCGTTACTTCGATGTCAAATTCATCGTCGGAATCAATTTCCTCAACGACTCCAGTTCGAATATCCAGAATTTCAAGCATTCGGGCGGTAGTACCTCCGAATATAATGACAGTCAAGACAACAACAACTAGAACAGTTGCACGCAAAGCTGGAGCATTTGTTCCCTCCAACCCAGCAGCCAATGCAACCCCAACTGCCCCTCGTAAGCCTGCCCAGAAAAGCATGGCTTGGTAAGGGTAAGGTAGTTCGTCAGCGACATCTCTGCCCCGATTTGCAGCTCTGTATCGAATGACCCAGTTTATGGCCTTAGATAATGGGAATACAGACAGGTATCTGGCAACACATATTCCCACAACAGACACCATAATGAAGAGGGGTTTGAACTGCAAGTTCTCATCCGTGAACAGGTCCAAGCCTAGGTAGATGAATATAAAATTCTCAGAGAGCTGTGCCATGGTCTGGAATATGTATTTTGTCGTAAGTTGGGTTCGACGAGACATGTTGTAGTAAGCGTAGTGTTTCAAGGTCATCCCACAAAACAATAACGACACGATACCTTGATCAGAGATGTCAGTACGTCAACTCGGTTTAAAATGAAAAAGAGGAATCCATACCAGACATGTGGATTCCAGTCGAGAAAAAGTAGCAGGCATAAGCAATCAAAAGAATGAGGCAACTTTCAATCTTGGGATCTCGGCGCACATGGGTATACTTGAGTCCCAACGCAGTGCCTATTCCAACGATCACTCCAATAAGGAGACTTCCAAAGAAAACGATTAAGAAAATTCCAATGGCTTCAAATAAACTGAGAACTGTAAGCGATCCTGCTGCGCTGCCTGGCTTGTATCTCTGGGCTGTCTCGAACAAAACAATAGCAATAGCATCGTTAAGAATGGATTCTCCGAATATAACCGTGTACAACTTCGGCTCAACTTTGTAGACGTTGAATATCGCAAGAATGGTGACAGGATCAGTAGCTGAGAGCGTGGCTCCGACAGAAAACGCCTCTACAAAGGAGATATCTAGTCCCTCAATAGGAATCCGTGTCCAAAGGAATAAGACGAGACCCAGGACTAATGCAGAGATGAATGTACCGGCGAAGGCAAATGTAAGAATACTACCGATATTTCGGAAGAAGTTGCCCTGTGTTGAAAGAAGGCAGTCAGTAACTGTCGCTTTGCGACTAAGGGCACTAGAAAGGGCATTGCCTACCTGATGCAGCTCGTAGCCCGACGCCAATATAATAGGGGGAAGGAGAAGGTTAAAAAAGAACTGGTAGTCAAAGCTGACTGATTTCTGAATCAATGTCCCGGGTGTAAATCTAATGACCAGACCAACAACCATTCCTAGTAAATTGCTATGTTAGCATCCTCCTTATTGCAACACCCGCTCATATCCTTCCAACTGTAGGCAGGTAAGGACTTACCACCGAATATAGACAAAACCGTTTCATGTACTGCTTGGATGCGCTTCTGTTTGAGCAAATAGCTAGTGAAAAGCGCGGTAATCAAGAGCATAATAAGGATAAAGAGAGCCCAGGAAGTCCAGAACTCCCGTTCTCCAGCTTCCGGAGAGTCTGCAATAATCCGTCAGAGTAAATCATTCGTTTCCTTATAGCTTTAACGCATATAAAAGCTCGAGGCTAACTGTTTCATCGGACTGGGCTGGCGAGTGGCTCTTCAGGTCGACTGCATACCATCAGGGTCCTCTTCCTCCTCCCTTTTCCCTGTAGAGAAATACCGGTCAGCCAAAAGTTCTTCACAAGTAACCATCCTGCGGATAAGAGACTGCTCACTTAACACCTTTGATATAACCCCGCCTATAAAATTGGTCGCCATGGTGCTTGGTGATGATGGCAACAGGCTGATGGATTTCAAATCGGAGGGTACGGGCGCGACTGGGTAAGTCGATTAGAAAGGCAGGCTGCGCTCATAGTCCCCAGGGAGAGCTCTATCGGTAACCGATAAGACGGCGAACGACTCTATTAGACGGAAAAAAGCTTTTGATATAGAACTGCTCGGAGTTGTTTATTCTTCCTTCTATGGATTACTTGAATCGGGCCAAGTCGACCCCAAATCACGTGCACCTCCGTCATCCGCCGGCGCCAATTTCAACGTCACTTCCACGACGATATCAAACAAACATCAACTTCGAGATATCCTGACCATGGCAGCTATCTCATCGCAGTTATCTCGCTACCTGTCTAGAGGGGTCTGCTATTGCCTGTCGTGCTACTAGGTGCTGCTGAACAGGCCACGATATTGATATTCTTAGACCAGATAACTACCCGGGATCAGTAGTGCTTTCTATCCCACAGTATCTGTGAAACGGCGAGAGTTGTCAAAAGACAAAAATACCCCAGAGTCATGGTTGAGATTCTTCGGAGTATCAACGAACAAATTATTGAAGACCGGGATATGACCCAAATTTTTACTTTCAAGGCGTCTTCTTTGACTGCGCAGCGCTTTACGGAAGGGACATCCAACTCTCCTAATAATACGGCAGATACAGCCATCCCTAGGTGCTACAGACCACCATGAAATTCGGTGATGATATATAGCCAACAATCTGAACCCGTACGTGGACCATTTTCTCTGATAGTTAAATTCGATGCTTGGCCAAGCACAGTATTTCTTATCAGACATTTCCTAGCAGCATGGGTAAAACGGGCAAAGCACTTGGATAAATGAGGTCTCTATATCAATGCTCTATGATAGGGATCAAGTACATACGACCACAGGAAGTGGAAAACAGAGCTTCCCGTCCGCTCAGCTGTACTTAAGCCACTTGCCGGTCGGTTAGTAGTTGGGTGGGTGACCACCAGCGAATCCCGACTGTCCGTATGTAAGTTTTTTTTTTGCTCTTTCATTTATTACCATGAAAAAGTTACCAATCGGTGCTAACTATTCCCGGAAGAGCTGGCATTCTTGATTCTATCCGTACCATACTGTATGATTGCGGTTCAACAAGCCTCAGGATTCTATCACCCGAAGGATCAATGGGATTAAAATGACCAGAAAGAGTGGTAGGTTAATGGCTGTGCCTTGTCAGCAGGTTATCTGTGCAGGCATAGGGGTATTTATTATTACTGTCTTACTCTATTATTTCTGCAGAGCCAGGCCGGTTAACAACTAAAAGCACAACCAACATAAGTTGCGCATCATTTAGCCCGACACCATCTGTTTTTTGTTACACAGTCTTATGCAGTTCCTGCGCCCGAGCGACAATACTCGTTGAGAATACAAGCGGGTCATGCATCTCGATGTCACACCGGATACTAAAAGCGCGGTCTTACAGCATACGGGATCCCTCGGAGTCAACTAAATTCATTTATTTGACTTGCGACGGGGAACTACATGACCATGCCCTGGATCTAACTTACATACCTCCTACATATACCTGCTGATTCCTCAGGTCGGCCTAGGATGAGCTCGCCGTTGATTGTGCGACGTGGATTTCAGCCAGACCCAGATGGGCCTGCGCTGAAATACAAGAGCTCAACCGATATCTACCAGCCTGACTACACACCTGCCTTATGACCTTTAATTTAATTTGTGGCATACTAGTGCAGCGTACGGCAGCTACCATGCCCTCTCTCATCACCTCGTCCGGTCTATCCTATCTCTAGCCTGTCGGTTAGCCTTAGCCGTCGAGAGCACCCCAATACCAGCCTTGTGACTGGCATACTTCATGCAAGGTAGTGCCAAACGAAAAGAATTTGGATATCAGATGTCTAGATTAATTCTTTATGGTCACAAGGGGTGCTTCCTACTGCGGGGAGAAATGATATTCAACCCTGACAGGATAGATATAAAAGTCATGGAATCTATCTACGTCTAGGACTTTCAATTCTGGGAAATTAACATTGACTATTTCTCTAACAATTGTATAAATCTGCATAGCCATAATGAAGTTGATTTATCTTGGATTACTGAGCAATCTCCTCAATTCGCATTCCCTAGCCCACGTTGCTAATGTGGCTGTAAGGAAGATTGGGAAGAATGCCATAATTAAAGACAATAAGGTTACGTGGTTGGGAGAAGACGGTTTTCAAGATGGTTTTTCATGCCCAGATACCCATGTTCTCCAACCCAGCGCTGATCAGCAGTCGGCTTCCTGCTGCTTACCTGGCCTAACTCTCAAAGGTACTTCCACCACGTCCTTTGACTGCTGCGCTGAGGGCCACGATCTAGCTGGCTCTGAGGCTGTCGGCTATATCTGCTGTCCCACTGGGCAAATCTACGACGGGAAGGTATGCAAAAATGGCAAACCTCTGGTGGAGGGTAAATGTGCCTGTTCCGAAGATAAAAATGTTACCACTGAGGGATGCTGTGAACCGGAAGAATGCTCATCTGGACTAAAGACTGGTAAGTGATCACCTCCCGGCAGCTACCTATAAGGTCAACGAACTCACCCTTTTAGGGAAATGCTATACGTTCAGGGAGAGCAATGGCTATCTTCTCGGTTACCTCCGTACTGGAAAATACTACAACGCAGCTCCGGATAGCAGAGATCGCATTTTTGGGAAATTCCAGCTCTGCAGAGACCGGATGTGCAACCCAGGACGTCCAATCAACGCCGGAGACGAGCTTTATATCAAAGACCTCCACGGAACCCCCATGGACGGAGCAGACGCAGGTCAGTGGATGAACAACGCGGCCGATGGGCCTCATATTGGTAAAACTCCAGACTTTGCGATGGCAGGTAGATTTGCAATCACCAAGTGGCCTTGCGGTAAATACTGCATTACTGGGGCTGAATTAGGCCTTGGGCCTGCATGCCCGGCGGATTTCCCAGCGCTTACATTTTACTCTCGATCTTCTGAGCCTTGTGTCGCATATGAACTTACAGAAGTTCCATGCAGTGTCAGGAGCATCAAGAATAACTGCGTCTGGCACAATGGCAAGGGTCAATGCTGTGACAAGATTGACTGTTCAGAGAGGAAGTGCCACAAATAAGTAGGCCTATGATTGCTTTAGGGTTTATGTCTTTTCGGGGATAACCAAGGGCTTCATGCTTCACTAATTACTCCATCTTTTCATGCCGGGCGAGCAGTTACTTGGATGAGCGATGATTATGTGTTTTGAGTGACTAAGTCGAGTGGCTCTATACAAGAGCAACTTCTCACTATCATCTCTGTGTAACTAACAGTTTGATTTCTCTGATCTCGGCTATAGTTCATTGCCTCTCTAGCTTTAATGGCACCGTTAACTAACTACCAACTTACTTACATACCCTGACTTGTGGACTTCTGTTATACCAACCGCTATCTTAATATATTGCTATATCCGCGTTCTATTACAATCGAATGTCGAAATCCTTAACCCGCTTTCGCTCCTAGTGAGTGCAGTTAGTCATCTCAGGAAGGTATTTAGAGTGTTAGGTAGACATAGATTATCAAATATCAATTACCCTCTATATAGCCATGATCAGTATTCTTATTTAACTACCAATTTGGTCATGATATATTGTAGATCATGACATAACGGACTAGTATTAAGCGTCGCTTCGAAAACACCTGTTAAACGGAAGCAGCAGGAATACTCTAGACGGCTTCTTCATCTTCAAAGCCCGGTGAGGCCCCGTCACCCATTCTACTAGTGAACCATGCAGCTCCCAGGGCAGCGCACCCGCCGAACCGAAGCACCCATCCCACACTGTCGTCCCAGGGCTCTCCCCGCGGTTTCTGGAGGGCTTTGAAAATAACACTGCTGATCAGGGTCGATACGATCTGCGGGCACGAAATCGAGACATTATGGATTCCCAGGATAACCCCCGCCTGGTCAACTGTTTCATCTTTATCTCCTGCATCATGGTCAACCACGCTAGCACGGGGGTTTTCCTCAGAGTCTCTTTCATGGGTTCCAACATCGGATTGCAAAGGGCGTGGATGAGAGCCAATAGGAGTGGGATCTGAAGCTGTCCGAGGACGGAGGGAATGTCTTTGCCGTCTGTGTTCGGCATCGCGCTGTGCGACCTCAGCGGAGATAAGTGCGAAGGGAGCCCAGAGGGTGAGGGCCCAAGATAGACCAACTGTTGCAATCACCGCAGTCCCAGCTGCAGGAGACGACACGAATATGGTGCTAAACATGCATAGTGCGAATAGAATATGCGAGATGAGCCAGAGCTTGCGCAGAGTTAGGCCGGGGACCTGAAGCCTGGAAAAGATGGATGACCACCTCCCTCCCCCTCGTTCGCCCTGCCTGCTGGGATCATGGATTGGGTTGATGGCGGTCGGTTCGATAGCAGCACCAGCTGATGCAGTGAAGGAGAGGGTGGATGTCGACGGTCGAGTGCTCAAATACGGCCGGTTCGCGGGCGGAGAGCTCGCTTCCGATTCAACAGCAGGTCGATAACCTGGGACAATCAACAGGGGCAGGACAATACTTCCTATAAACGAGGTAATGGCATATATCAAAAGCGCCAAAGTGCCTATTCTAGTCGCTTTCTCCCAAGCAGCGTCTATCTCCTCCTTGGTCAAATTTGGATGCTTGTCAAAAATGGGGTTGACGTAGAGCTGTCCGATATATGTCGTCGAATAGAATAGGAATGGGAACCAGCCAATCCATGCACAGAGCTGGACCTCACAGACCTTTCGAATCCGAGGAGGTAGCCTTCGTATCGACTTGAACACTTGCGTGAAAAATGCAACAACGCCCGGGTTCTCTGATTTTGGTGGGCCTTCAAGCCGTGGATCACGCTCGGTGATGTATGAGCAGCTGGTCAAGAGGGTAAGCCCCAGGCACATGGATGCAATCACGCATAGGACTTTGAACTGAGTATCCCCGAAGAAAGGAAATATCTTGGGAAGTTTCAGATAGCCTGATATGTAACCTATAATATTTCCAATGCCTGTAAGCCTGCTTGCCCATGCATTTGCAGCTTCTTGTTGGTGTGCAGGGGCATTATCAACTATGAAAGCCCGAATTGCCGCTTGTACTGTGAAGCTAATTAGCACACAAGAGTATTAAACAGTTAGCTGAGAGAATACTAGATAAAGTACACACCAGTATTGATAGCAAAATCAAGGCAGTACATCAGCAGAGTCGCCACCACGATGATGGTTACTCTCACCCCAGAAGACTCGGGAGATGCCCCAAAGAGCGATAAGATTCCACCTACTATCTCCCTTACCCAGGCCAGCGCCAGCAATGAGAAAACAGTAGCAATACCGCCTCCTATCATAAACGGTTTTCGTTTCCCCCAGCTAATGCGGCAGTTGTCACTTCTGATGCCTATGTAGGGCTGTACCAAAGTCCCAGTCAGAGGACCCGCAATCCACACAAATGCGAGTAAAGACTTGTTCATTCCAAGGGAAAGTAAATACGGCTATCAGGATAGTTAGTTGGTTGTTAATGGTTATGAGTGACAGGGAAAAAAAACGAATCAATCAAGTAGGCAAAACATATAAACATGGTCGAACTCACCGATCCATTTGATAATTCAACCGACCATACTATCTGCAATCTATACGCGAATTAGCTATTGTACAAGGGCTATGAAAGACGAGACACTTACCCTCCGATGCTAAGTGCTAACAAGAACAAATACCAGCTGCTTTTGGGCTCTCCTTCTTTTTCTGCCTGTTTGGCCACAGCATCGGCATCGTCCCAAATCTCTCCAGACTGCCTCTCCCGATCGGCCAGGAGAGGCGAAGTACTGTTATCCTCCCTATTCCCCGGATAAGCCATGGTAATTATACGAGGAAGAGAACCGGTGTAGCTCTAAAGCGGGTATATATCCAAGTGGATGTACGCGCTCAGCCGCCTGAACGGCTCCGTATGAAAAAAAGTGCTCCAGAACGGCAAAAAAACAGGTTTGAACACTCGTAGTTAGTTAGTTGATCAGACATTCCAAGGAGGCGAGCTTTCAAGGACCAGGAGCCGCCATATATGAAGCAAGCCATGGAGCAGTTCTACCGCAACCCCCTTTTTCCGCACGCGTACTTTCACCCTCTGAAGCAGCAGAGAAGGTCATGAGCATCGGTCAGAAGTCTTACGCACAGCCATGGCGAGAATGGGCTTAACCCAAAAAGCCCCCTTCTTGTCCGCCAGCCTTTCCTGTCCACAGGCAAGCCACAGGGCAAAGAAAGTTGCCAGTCCTGCGTCATCTATGAAGCCTAAAGGAGGTACCTGTACCTCCAGCGGCCAAGGCGGATTAGCCCGGCGAGGCCATCAGGCCGTCGCCCTCTAGACAGGTTGGACGGGGTGGTAGGAGTGTGGGTGCGATTGGCCCCAGACAGCTGGAGACCTGGAGTTATCCAGTTGACCTCTTGAACACGAGATAAGCTGCGATTCTAGGCCCATATGTTGATGTTGGGCGGAGATGCGGTGGGCAGGGCCTCGTATATATACAACGCTGCGAAATTGCTGCGGATATCCCCAGAGTTAGAAGTTAAGTGACTACTGGCTAAGTTTATGGGCCCCGTAATAATATAGGCAATATGACGGGAGGAGATGATACCAGTTAACCATTACTGTTGGTGCTTGCTGGGTTAATTTTATTTTATTATGGTGGAGGTGAATATTTACGGAGATATCTACAGGGGTATGCCAGCAGCGAGATGCAAGCTGGCGCCGTTGCAGCGGCTGTAGACGAACGAACGGCGGTCGAACGATAGTTAGTTAGTTACTCCGTACAGCTGGGATTATAGGACGGGAGGAAAGCCGTTATTAATTTGGTAAGCGAGGGCACCTATTCATATAAGTTCGTATAGAAACGGAGATCTCTACGGAGTATATACATATGTATATTGTCAGAACCACCGGTCAATAACACGTTAGGAAGTCAGCAGCGAACTAAGGACAAGGTAGACGGAGTGATATCAAAGCAAAGGTAGGATGTAAATGGTAATAAGATAGGTCTATTAACTAACACACAGGAAGATAATAACACGGAGAGCATATTAAAATGAAAAGCAAAACAGACATGTCCTATACCCAATCCCCGGGCAACTTATTGCCCATCTTCCAGATGAAAAAGGAGAGTAATCAAAAACGAACAGACAAACAACCCATTTTTCTTCCCTCACCCCATCCCCTATCCTCACTTTTTTTGTTATCTTTCCATTTTATAAAGAAACACGCACAAATGCTGGGAAGAAGAGCAATGCCAAACGGTTCAAAAACTTCTTAAAAACTTGATAAATCAAAACAAACACGAACTCTGGCGGTGGGGTAGTACACCGTATGCATCGGACAGGATAGGAAATATACAGGAAGGGAAAAGGCATTATTAAAGGGTTCGGCGGAAGAGCACCCCGGGTTGTTCAGTCCTGGAACGAGTTAAGGGGGTTCCGCGCGGGTAAGACTGTAACAGGAAGAAAGAGACAGAATGGGGAAGGAAAGTGGGAAATTCACACAAGATTATGACGTTGCAACATAAGGTAGGTAAATGATAATGAAATCATGACGTGCCAAAAGCATAGAGAGCACCTGTCTCTATATTAACCGGGACTGTTTAAGAGAACTCCATAATAGCCCAGAGCAGTATATATAACCGTGGTATATACCACGGCGTACCTGGACGGAAAACACCGGGGGGAGAGGGGGATGTGTGTCCAGGATTGAAAAAAAGAGACCAAAAACAAAACAAATGTAGAATGATTCTCCCAAGCGAATAGGAAAGCAGAGGCTGATGGGGTGTATTTTCGTAATCTAAATGAACTTTATATAAATTGAACGAGGAACGGAGGGGCGGGAAGAGGTTCATATCTGCTGTTGTAGCATCTGTGGCTGGACCATTTGAGGTTGAATTATTTGGGGGGCTGCCATGGATGGTAGGTTAGAGTGGGTGCTCATCGTGTGCATGGAGGTGACGTTGGCCATGTGACGACTGTGGTGGGGAGGTACGTGGCGGCAGAAGTTGGAACTTGTGATTGCTGTGGTTGTTGCTCATGCTGGCTGACGGCGACAGACTGTTCGCGGTCATTTCATGCTCATCCTCCTTGAAGCTTGGAGGCTGAGAGCCGGTGTTGGAAGACTGTTGAGTCTCATGGACACGGCGATGTCTGGAAGAAGGGTTAGTTTATGGGGACTGATTTGGGTGAGAGAAAAAAATGGGGTTGCATACTGTGCAAGGTTGTCGGATCGAGAGAAGGCCTTGTTGCAGTAAGGGCAGGTATATGGCCGTTCTTGTGTATGGGTTCTTACGTGTCTGTGGGAATACGTCAGCAATGTCCAAAACATAAAAGACTCGGAATAGACACATACCGCTTGAGGTGCTCTAGACGCTTGAAGAGGCGGCCGCAGGAAGGAATGGGGCAGGAGTGAGACTTTTGTGGATATGGACCCAGCTCCATCATGGTAGCGCTTCTGGCACGACGAATGGGACCGGGTCGATCACCCTGGTGACCGTTCATCAGGTGCATAGCTTCGGTACCATCAATTGTCTCCATATTCGACAACGAGGATACGGTTGTTGTCTCACCCATGGAGATGGGAACAGACACCTGAGCGGTGTTCTCTTCTAGGCTGGGCAGAGGAGTGGTAGTGCGAGAGTGGTGAACGCTGTGGGAGTACATGGCACGCGGAGGAGAGCCTTCATGGGCATCGCCCTCGATAGCGACAGTAGTAGACATGGAACGACGAAGGTCGCTTGGTCGGTGAACAGCATGAGGCTGGACCGGGATCTGAGGCTGGTGCATGTCATGGTGTTGTGGTTGTACATGCAAGTGGTTAGTAGCCGCTGAGATGGCGTTGGTGATGCTCGGTGGGATGGAAGAGCGGCGTCTTCGCTGCTTGTATGTTGGTGAGCCTTCAATGACTGAGTAGACGCTGGAAGAAGGGAAGCTTCTTGAGGCGGTAGAGTAGTGAGGCGCGGCAACGTTAGAGGGAGGGAGCTGCATCATTGGGTTGAAGGAGGATGCTGATCCAATGTCTGGGATCGCAGTGTAGAGGCCGGTGTCCTCGTTGGCGATGTAGGCCGGTTCTGAGGTGAGGTGCATTGTGTGCTGTGGGGGAGTTAGAGGCTCAAAGGAAATACCACGGTTGGCATACTCATCGTAGTGAGAGGATACGAACGAGGGAGCAGGTGAGTATTCCATATATGTGGGCATAGAAGTATGGCGCTGGTGGACCTTAGAGAGCGGAACACCGTTGCGATCGTACTGGAACTGCGAGTAATCGGCCTCAGTCTTGACGATCTGTCCGGTCATGGGATCGCTGCTGACGGAGCCATGGTACATTGTGCTCTGCTGGTCCTCGTGGACGACGGGCATGGCAGGGGGAGCCATCTGGGGTGGCGGCATGGAATCGGTGGCTCGCGGCATGGGCGAGGCCGAGTGAGAAGAAGCGAAGGCAGATGAAACATGGGCGGCAGAGAACGAGGACGAGTTCGCCTGCTGGGCCTTGGTCAACTGCTCGTAGAGCGACTGGGAAGAGTCGAACTCGAAAGAGAGCGCGGGCTCGTTGACTGCAACAGTGGTAGCCTCCTGGCCCATCTTCTCCCGCTTCAAGTCCCGCTCGAGAGCGTCGAGGAAGAGACGGTCGTGAGGAACGCTGTACCAGTAGAAGACCTTTTGTTTCTTCTGGGTGCGAATGCAGTTGTTCTTGTACAAGAAGTCGAGGAATGGGCTCTTGGGCTCCTCGAGCGAGGCGTCGGTGCCGGCCTTGAGATTGCGAAGATCCGAGAAGATGCCTTCCTCAAACTTCTTTGTGTTCTTCACTGGCCGTCCGAATGCCTGGAATCTAAAGGAGAGGCAGCGGACGATGTCGGTGCCAGAAATGTGGAAGAGGTTGTTCCTACTGGAGGTTAGCCACCAGCAATAGGTGCCCAGACAGGAGTGAGCTTGACGTACCATAGAACACAGGAGACGTAGTCGCCGGTGGGCAGCAAGAATCGTCTTATGAGCTGGTCTGGCGTCCAGTCTACTGGAGCAGAGATGAGGAAATATTTGACTGTTTTATGCCAGTTAGAGCCCGGTTGCACCAAAATCAATGCCCGACGGGAAGAGTGAGGGAAGTCCTACGGTTGTCAACTTGCTGTAGAGCGACCTGTACATCTTGTGGCAGGCTCTGCTGGGCTTCGTTTGATAGCATGAAGGTCTCGGGCTTCTGGGGAGGCGGCATGGGCGCGCCATGGGGATACATGGTGATGTGCTTGACTTGAAGAGCCCGACAGTTAGTATTAAGCGCCCACAGCCCGCTGGTCAGTTTCGACCTGCACCAGGGCCGGTAAAACGGTTTGGACGTCGACGAACCTGATCAAACACCAGTCGCAGAAGATATCAGGTAGCAAGACAGAGGCCGTATGATGGACAGACAAAAAGACGAAACGCAAGTCAACAGGATGAGATAGCCCAACGCTGGCACGGCGTATTGTAGCGTAACTCAAGGGGGCCGGTTTGGTTCACGTTCCGGAGCGGTTTCAGCAGTCAGAGAGATGCAGAGAAGGCCCAGCCTTCAGCCTTGCAAGAGGACGAGAGCTGTTCGAGGATGATGAGACGGGAGATGAGACGGATATGATATGGGCCAGCCCAAGAAGCAGTCCAGTCGAGTCGAGGATGGGCAGAGACGAGAAGAATAGACGGAGAGAGGGAGGGCAAGTACGGGGGAAAGAGAGAGGCGGAGAGAGGGATGGAGGATATATGTAAGAGAACGGACGGGATAGCGTAGAATGGTTGGATAAGGGGGGAGGAAGGAGGAGGAAGCGGGAGGGTTTGCTTTGGTCGACGGAGCGAAGGACGGTCGTTTAATGAATGGGGGAAAAGAAAAAGAGAGAGATAAGATCGCAAACCTGGGAGGGAGGGAGAAGATGTATAGAAGGGGCAGCAGGAAGACAAGAAAAAAAAGAGACGGCGGAAAGGGAGGTACTTCTGTTCTCTGCGGGCGCCAGCGCAGCGATGGAAGTACCAGCAGCCCGCGAGCCGTGCGTACCGCCTGTACTGTCAGCGTTTTTACGCCTGCACAGGCTCGGAGTCGCTCGGTTTGCCCCCTGGCGGCCGTGGTAAAGTCGTATCGGTGATACAGGGCCAGCCAGCGAGAGTCGAGAGTTGAGAGGAGAGACGGATTGTCCTGTCGCGGCCTCGAACAAGCGCATCCCAGGGATGTCCCTCTCAAGAGTCCTGCCTTTGCTCGTGCCTCTGCTGGCCCCTCTGCCCAATAGCGAGCCGATGGCGATGTGCTGGGCTGGCGGTGCGCTGGGTGGGCATTCAAACTGACGCCAGTGGAACCCCCTAATATAAGACCTGGGTGTTTCAGGTTCGACCTGCGGACTTGATGTGCAGGGGGCGACGGGGATGCGATCCTCCTCCACTCACGCTTCTCCTCCCGTTTCAAGGCCGTATGACATAGAATATGCCAGCAGGGATGGGCTGGGCTGCGAGGTACACACATCCACCTGCAGGTCTATACATATGTATGTGCAGATAGACACTGCGCTGCCTTGTCCTGCTGGCCCCAGCTATATTTAGGACTATCACATCTGACCTTTCTTTCCCCCGTACATCATATATAGCATTGTTCTGCTGCTTGCTGCTTGCTGCTGGGGCTGGCACTCGGTGGACGAAGGCAATCATTGAACGCCGCTGGTACGATGTGCGCAATATGCATGAAAGAAAGACCGTAAAAATAAAAACCGTCGGTCCATAATTAGAACAGTACTCCGTAGTTGGTTCCTTATCTTCAGGCGCCGTGAAGAACGATCGCATTATTGGCGCCGGCATTCTATCATCCTCTCTCTTTTCCTTTTGCTTTCCTTTCTTTTGCCATATCACTCTTCTTTGCTTTTTCCTTTCCTTCTCTTCTTCAAAAAAAATATGATGCCAAAAAGTGGTGGATCCATGCATGTGTATCCTTTTTCCCAAGCGCTTACGGCTCGATCGGGCAACGGTTACCACCTTAGGCTTCCCTCCCCTTACTTTCTTTTTCCTCTTGTTCCTGTCCTTGGTCTGCTTGCTCCCTTTACGGAAAGGTTGTTTATCTATATCGTCCTGGAGATGGCGAGAGAGGCGCTCGTAAATGCATTTTGCAGTCTTATTTTCATTTTCTAGCATCCGAAAATGCGGAAGAATCGCAGCTGAAAAAAAGGGAGACAGAGCTACCCTGTAACTACTCCATAGACCATGGACGGAAGCATCCCGTGAGATTGATAGAGCTGCCAGGCACGCAACCGTGGCGTCATGGTAGCGAGGCTAGTGAGCTGACTGAACGATCTTTCTACTCGATCTCTCCTCTCTTCCTCCATTATTTCTTGTTCCTCTTCTCCCCTTGACCACGTATGTTGCTGACAGGGTCCTCCTTGCATTCTGGCTTGGAGGAGAGAACTCTGGCTCTGGTTCTCGGGAACGCCACAAGGTGGAGAGAGAGCCGATCGCGATGATTTCATCGAAGCAAAAAATTTTCGATCTTGCTCTGTTGCTCCTCATTCTGGGGCTGATAAGGGAACTAACTAGTTCTTGTGGTAGATGCTCCATTCTTCCAACAACTGCTGAAAACATGATTCCTGCATGGTGAGGGCCTTTGAAGACATCTGAACCCGGAATAAAAAGGAGGCAGAAAGCATGCCATGCTCGAGATCACATTTACTCATCACACGACTGGGATCTCGCAGAAGACCATTATAGACCGTAATAGACCGTTGGCCAGGACCGTTGTTAGACCTCTTGTTATCCCATCTGATTAATCACCGTGCTTCCCTTGCAACCTGGCTGGTTAGCTGGCTGGCTGACAGGCTAACTAACCTGACATAACACGACGACGACGTAAACTAAGGTCAAAAACATGGCCAGGAGCTCTGGAACCGGCTGCCCTGAAACACGTCGCCAACTCCGAACATTCGCTCGGAGATACTCAGAGGCTGGCAAAGAGGCTTCAGGGCAAGCGACAACAGACTAAAAATGCAGTCTAGCCAGGGACAGCTAGGGCAAGGAACCCGGAGGCGAATCGTATTAACCGTTTTTCTCGACTGCACTCTTCTCCCAGTTCTCGATCAATTCGTGATCGGCCAAACGGTCATCGTACGTGTGCCCAGCAAACTAACGACTGTTGTTCTTCGGGTGTTCTTCAGCCCTCTCCACATCACAGTATGGACTATTGCGACTGACATGAAAATTCTTGCCGAACTATTGCATGTGTTCAAAGGGACCTACTACTGGATGGTCAACCTGTAGTTCGTTATGTGGGTGAGGACTAAAGGGTAGGACAAACTACTTCCGCCCCCCTGCCATTCCCCGTACTTCTGTACTCCGTACAACAGGTTGGAAGTACGGAGAACTCTGACCATGATAGACTCCGTATTCACCATAAACATGATGGCGAAGTTACTGACTCGTTAGTTAGTTGGTACTCCATACGAAGGATGCAACATCTCAAACCGTAGCTTTGCTCAAGTTCTGGCCCTTTGCTGTTTCTGGATAGCATCCTGGCGTATATAGTTGACCGATTAGGCAAATCGCCCCCCCAGATCGCCCATTGTCAGCTAGTTCTCTAGCTGCAGATGGCGGACGAACCTCTTCCTTCTTCTTCCCCTTCCTTTCCCCTCTGCCAAACTCCATCCAACACGAGGATCTCTCTCCCAAGCTTAAACCTAAGCATTTTTGCATGCACCATCCATCCAACCAGTAGTTACTTTTTGTACACCGACTCCTCGTTGGATTGCCCAATTCACTCTAGTCCTGCTTTTCGGAGCTGCACTCATGATCGCAGGATATTGATCGCGATGCTTCCTTGGCGAACCCGGGCCGTTTCGTCGGCTTCCATGAACAAATGATCGCTCTCCCGTCTAACTGAACGTGGCCGACTGCATCGGAGGTGTTTTCGGAAACGGGAATGGCGTGAGAAAAGAAATATCTAGCTATGATCGTACATACATGTATTCGATGAGGCTGACATCTGTTGACCGTCTTCTTGCTTCTTGCTACTCCTTTTCTTTTTGCTGCTGTGTGAGCGTGAGCTCGTCTTCTCGCTCGCTAAACTGGGGAAGTCGGAATGTCGGAGACGCAAGTCGTACATGCGATCCTGTTGTGCCACTAACGAACTGGCAGCAATGTGAACTCCACCAATTGACTGAAAATGGCTTGACTGGCAGGCGAGCATAGTACCAGTTATGCAGGGGGAGGAAGCAGTTGCGGGGAGCTGATGAGAGCTATGTGTTCTAAGTATCTCCTATACTGGGGGATTTTTTTCTGGACTGTTGCATTTCTCACCTCCACCTTCGAGAGACGCTAGTTCAAGGTCAAGATGATGTTTATGTCGTCCGCCAAATAAGGAACTGGATAATTTCTATACCCGGTCCGAGCAAGCTCTCGATTGCTTGTCTGATCTGATTTCACTTTTTGATCTGATCTCGCTTGATCACCCTCAGTGCGCGAGCATGCACCGAACTGCATTTGGCAGTGTATATGGGGTTGCCTAATGTTTCGAGGCATCCCGGGAACAAGATGTCATCCGAGGCATGCTTCAGGTACAGTTTCACCACTAACAAGGGTAGTATTTAGTGTGGGTCATAGCTTCTGGATAACTAGTCAGCCCAGCCCTAGGGCGAGGAGAGCGGAATTGATGGATCGGAAGGCAGAGAGAAGACGTCAAAAAAAAGGAAGAAGAGTAAGTTTACCTGCAGCATCAGAACGTGGCCTCCACAACGGGCCTTGGTGTGAAACATTGCCCCTGTCCTGCAAATCGTCCATCTGGTTGACGTGCCTGGTGGGTGTTGATAGACGTCGATAAGCTAAAGACGCTGGCGAGAGGGAAGAATATACTTTATTTACCGAATGCACACGCCGCTCTCTGTGTTCTCTTCTTTCCTCCTTTACTGAAGGATACGAAGACCAAGGAGGAAATTCCATCCTTATGCTCACCGTGCACCGCGCCTTAGTGTGCCGGATGCTAAAGGGGCGCAAATCAAAGAGAGAAGCAAAAGAGCGAGTCTCCTTTGCCAGTATTTCTCCTATTCACTTTCTTCTCTCCGAATCTAGTGGCGTTTCCCCTTTCCCTTTCCAGATCCCCTGCCTCCCTTCTTGCTAGACTTCGGGCCTTGAATTGCCATAACATCCCGACGACTGAGTTTCAAAGTTCCGCCAACAAACTTGCCAACCGACGGACCGCCGATACCACGCTCTCGTTTTTTGGCTGCCGGCTTAGACTTAGCAAGCGAGGGGCGCTCTAGAATGATTCCATTTTCCTGCGCCTCACGCCGTCGTCTATCCTCTTTCTGTGTAGCTTTCGCGGAAATCCCTTTCCGGTGGGACATTGGCATGCTTCTCTGCGTGAAAATAGATGTCTTTGCACCAGCGGTTTGTGCACGAAGGTCAATGGCCTTGTGCCTGTTCACACCAGTCGGGTTAAGGTCGGATGCAGAGTCAAGGAGGTGAGACTCCTTGAGCAGACGCTGCAGAGCTAGGTCATTCTTGAGGTTGTCTGCATCCGTCGTCTGGTCGTCGGTAGCTTTTTCTCCACCTTTTTTGTTCCCCTTCGTCGCTGCCGGCTTAGCAGGGTCAGACAAAAGAGACGGTGGTTTTGAGCTCTGTCCAACAGGTTAACCCAGTGCTCTTGGCTACTTTTGGGGAGCTGAAGTAGCGCACTCACCATAAATTTCTTGATAGTAGCCTTGTCAGCTACCTCCGTCCGTTCTTTTGGTGCTGTGCTGTAGTCCACCACTTCTGGTGGTGGTCCGCTGCTCTCCTCATCTTCACCGCTGTCCTCTTCCTCAATGCCATCCCACTCGCCCTGGTCACTATCATCCGTGTTAGACGCATTACTGGATCCATCTAAGACGGCCCCTGAACTCGACCCGGGTAATTCCAGAGGTTCGAAGCGGGATTCAAAATATTTCTGAAGTCGTTCCTGTGCATCCTCGGTAGACGTATCACGCGTAGAATCGTCCTTGACGGCCGCTGCTCTCCTCCTCGAGGCCACTGTAACCTCTCTCTTCCTCTTCCCCAGCATGATTAATCCTCTTGGCTGCTCCGGAAGATATATCAAACGTTCAATGTCTTCCTTGCTTTGCTTGACGTCTTGCTTTTTTGCTTATCCAGAAACTTATCGTCGGTTTTTCTTTTTTGGGACTATCACGTGATATATAGCTTGCCTGGGGCTTCCCTCGCTATCAAAAAGATTATTTAACGGTGATATAACTCTTATTTTATTAGCTCTATGAATAATTAGCAAATAACAGAGACGGAGGCCATCGCGGGGTGTTTGGAGAGACGAAGAGACATCTAAGACAGGCTGTTTCACATCTCCGTCCCCGTCCCCTCGATATGACTCGGTTTCGCCCTTGTATCGACTTGCACGCGGGCCAGGTCAAGCAGATAGTGGGAGGAACCCTGAGCACCAAGCCTGGGGAACTAAGGACCAACTTCGTCTCTGAGCTCTCAGCGGGCCATTTTGCGAAGCTATACAGAGACAATGGGCTAACGGGTGGCCATGTTGTGAAACTCGGGCCGGGAAATGATGACGCTGCTATCGAAGCTCTAAGGGCATGGCCTGACGGCCTACACATTGCTGGTGGGATTACAGACAAGAATGCGCAGTACTGGTTGGATGCTGGCGCCGAAAAAGTGAGCAGTGAAACGCATCCCGGACCTCTTCTTGTTGGCTATGGCCTTTGCTTTTAGGAAGCTATACGGTCCTTGGAAAGAGAGTCGGTGATCTAAAAGAACAATTAGGTAGTGGTTACGTCTTATCTCTTCCCAGGCGCTCGATTCTGCATCGATCGGCTGCAGTCTATTCTGACTGCTATAGGAGGCGATAGGTCAAAATTAGTCTTGGACCTTAGCTGCCGCAGGCGGGGGGATACCTGGTTTGTCGCCATGGACAAATGGCAGACGGTCACCAGCATGGAGATATCTCAGGGTACGTGTGTATGATCGACACAACAAGCCTTCTTCCTCCTCCCCGAAGGTGAGGTATGACGAAGCCCATTCTGACCAGTGTTATCTGAGGACTATAGAGACCATCGGTATGCTCGAGCCGTACTGTTCAGAGTTCCTAATCCATGCCGCGGATGTAGAAGGGTTACAGCAGGGTATTGACGAGGAGCTCGTGTCCAGGCTTGCGGAATGGTGCACTATTCCGGTCACGTACGCTGGCGGAGGACGAGGGCTAGAGGACCTTGAGCGTGTTGAGGAGAAGAGCAAAGGGAAGGTCGATCTGACGATAGGGAGTGCTCTGGATATCTTTGGAGGTTCCGGTGTCACTTTTGAGCAGTGTATCGAGTGGAACAGGCTAAACGGCAGCTAAACGGGATACTGCTGCTGTACCGAGTTTGTATCTGTAGATGTAAACGGGTATATATCAGAGTAACTTCATATATCAATGCAAGGCTCTTTATGAGCATCTGTTCGTCTCAAAGGGGTTGTTGGCTGTTCTTCGCATGACCAGAGAGAAAGTCCTACTATGTACTTTAGTTGGTTAGAGCAGCGCTTGGCTGTGGCTCAGGAAACTTCCATCACTGACGCAACATCGAGAAACCTCGTAGGACAGTAAACACCTTCAACCACCGACCTCAACACAGCTTGCATCACGCAGATCAAGCGGAAGCTATAGATCCCATCTCCTGCTACCTCCTGCTGCTTTTATTTACCGGTGTTATCGCGATTCTCCCGCAACCATGAAGCCCGTCGTGTCTGCTATGAACGCATGGACCTGGTGAGAGCTGCCCATGCCCTGAAGAAAATCGCTGCCTTCACCCGCTAACTATGGACTCTTTCTCTCGATCAATAGCTGCGTCATCTCTATATTTGCAGTCATCATCCTCTCCGTCATCGGGTCTCTCTTCAAAGTGCGTTGCTTCCGACCTCTTTTACCCTGCGCGCATCGCATCTTCAGCTTGACTAACATATCATCAATTTCTTGCCGCAGGCCAAGCACCATTCTATGACTGGCTCTAAGAAGGACCCCGAAAACCCTGCCGCTGTTGCGGCTTCGATATTTACCGCCGTCGTTATTTATGCTGTATGTTTTACCCCTTGTGCAGTATAGGATATCGCCTCCGCGTTTCCGAGGCCTGATAGAACGCCGCTCTTTCTTCACAACATATCTTGAGAATTATACACCTGACTGACTGCTTTACTTAGTGCTTTGCCGTTTTCTGTGGCTTCCAGGCCTTCCTACACATGCGATCGAGTCAACGGGGAGCCATATCATTAAATTAAATACCATCCGCAACCACCCACGTCCATTTCATATATTTCTATTTCACTATCAACAATGCTGTGTTTATATCATAAGGCTGGCTAGCTTTAAAGGGACTGTTCATTCATTATTTATTGATATCTTTTGTTCCTATGAAAAGATGAGCTATTGATTCGGTGTCTTTCTTTTGGATCGCTAAGGCGATACGTTTTTTGAGATGGGGACCGGCAAGAACTCAAGCTCCGATGACTATATCCCACTCATAGAGAGGAGATGTTGCGATTAGAGCATGGCCATCCTTTGTCCAGTGTATTTTGCTGTGTATGTTCTAGATTCCTCTAATTAATTTTCCTTTCTCGGTGCAATATACAGTTTGATATTGGGTTTGATAATAGCTTCTTTATTTGGTATACTATCAATCTTATCCTACACTGAACAATACTAGTATCTACTATGGTCCAAGGTTTGGCTGGAAGCATTTCTGTAGGTAATAACCCGTAATAGATGTAGATTTCAACAGAAATAAAGAGGAAAATCGAGCCTCGTCTAGAAGTGTCTAACATTCAGTAATGAACAAAGCGACTCTTGATGAAAAAGCAGCTGGTATATGAACTTTTTAGCCGGTAATAAAGACATTTTTGAATGCAGAAGATGCGCCTGACTGTTGTGAGCCTCCTTACACCAAATCAGACCTAGAAATTCCCCTATCAGTTTTGGCCACCAACTCCTGTAAAACATATACAGACATCAAGAACGGACAGAAATACCCCCTATCCATATTCTAGTCGGAATCCTGGGTATCATCAAGCGGATCAAGCATCTTGCTCATATATACTCCATCAAGATGGTATCCGAGTTTGGCATAATAGCTTCGTACTCCCACGCCAGAAATAACGCTAATCTTGCGGCTTCCATGCTCCTCCCGAGCTATGCGTTCAGCTTCCTCCATCAGCAAAGTTCCAAATCCACGATGCTGGAACTTGCGGGCGTCACGGCCATGTACGGGTACTGCGGAACCATAAACGTGCAGCTCTCGTACCAAACTGGTTGGTTGACCTGTGAGCTCGGGTCGGAAGGTGTACTTGGAACTGCACTTTCGTAGTCGAAGGAGGCCGATAAGGATATCTTGTTTTGGATCTTCGTAGGCAAGGAATGTTTCCCATCCTCCATTTGCTGTATAATCACGTCGGACAAGTTCAATCTGGTTTGGTCGAATTTTATTCTTTACTTCGTTGATGCCGACTTCTCGGGTACGCACATCACGGCAGGTGGTGCCAAAGTCTTTCATACGGCTGAGTGCGAGTTCGCGTAGATTGCCGTTCTCTACGCCAGATGTGACGAGGGGCATTGGGATATCTCTTTGCACACGGTAAATACGGGTCCATGGAGGGACGAGAGCGAGAATTCTGGCTACGATATCAATTAAAGCATTTGGGGTATAGTTCTTGTACCGGCCAGTCCTCCAGAGTTCATAAAGACCGGTTCCTCGAATAACAAGGGTTGGGTATATCTTCAGACCATCAGTCCGGAAATCGGGGTTCTCAAAGTACTCCTGGAACTGGAACAGGTCTCTCTCCATTCCGACGTTTGGAAGATCAGGCATCATATGGCTGACCACCTTGAACCCGGCATCCTTTGATAGTTTAAACGTTTCCGCCACAGCCGCTACTGTGTGCCCTCTGTTTGTGTCTCGCGCCACATCTTCATAAAGGCTCTGCACTCCAATTTCCAATCGGGTACAGCCGTACCGGAGCATGCTGCTAAGATGGGTGTCAAGGCAGTAATCAGGCCGTGTCTCGATCGTAATTCCAACGCACTTAATATTGCTCATTTCTCCGGCCTGCACGGCCTCGTCTACATTATCCGTTTGATAACCACTCAGTGCGTTATGGAGTTGTGATATAAAGGTCTCTCTGTACTCCACCGGTAGTGACATGAAGGTGCCGCCCATAATAATATATTCCACCTTATCCACACTATGTCCCAGCGATTTAATCTGGTCGACTCGACCGCGCGCCTGCTCAAAAGGGTCATATCGGGCTCGGATAGCTCTCATGGACGTTGGCTCGTAGCCGGTATAAGACTGAGTAGAATATTCAAAATCCGAATCCGGGCCACCAGGGCAATAGACACAAATGTTTCCTGTGTATGCAATATGGGGGCATCGATGAGGCTTGCACATTACCGCAACCACGGCGATTCCAGATGAAGTTCCTTTGCGGAGGGGGAGCAAATGTTAGCGGGCAACCTCGCCAAAGGGACGGACATAAAAAGAGATTCCCACTCACTTATCGGTTTGGCAATCAACTTTGGAAGGATATATTTCTTATAATGCTCCGGAACAGCAGCGATAATAGCTGTCAACGGCGGCAGGTTGCTCAGATAATGCTTCTTTGCGATCGTGCCCCGCAGCTTGTTCAAATTGATATCTTTCTTCGACTTGCTATCATCTCGCTGCGCTTCGTAGTCCTGGATCAGCGCATTTGCTATATCGGAGCAGGCTCTCATGTATCGCTCGTTCTCTGGCGGGAGCTTGATATTCTTTGGAAGCTTGTGTTTCGGCATAGTCATCGTCTTCGTCGCCATCGCGCAGGCAGAGCGGGAAATGGCAAGAGAGCCTAAGGAAAGAAAAAAGAACTCCTGACAAGAAGAAAAAATACGCCAGCTACCCCTATGCTTCTATCCACTGCTGTTTCGTGGTCGTTTCCGTTGGGTATCGTGAGTAAAAAAAGTCGTTGATCGTAGCAGCGGTGGTTGTGAGTGTCTTCCTTGCATGGGTCAAGATTTTTGGTCCGGACGAGCCACGCTGCGAAAACTGAAACTGTAAAAAAACATCAACGACTTCCGACTCTCTCCTTCGTCTTTTCTCTGCACTGCATCTCGAATCCTGCCCTTCCAGCTCCCGCGCGCCCTCGCATCCTAGCTTTTTCTTCTCTCTGCTTTCACACAGGCTGCTGCTTGTCGCAATTCTTCAGATATGCAGTCCTTCAGACGTTCTACGGTCTCTGCGTTGCAGAATGCCTCCCGTGTCCAGCGACGCGGACTCTCAGGCCTCACAGGCTATGCCTCGACAGTGAAGAACCTCCGCATCAACCAAGACACCAAGGTCATCTTCCAGGGCTTTACTGGAAAGCAGGGAACGTACGTTGCAATTGAGTTGATTTCTCTTTGCTTTGGGGCGAATACAGCTGGCTGACCGTCGCTTTTTTTCGATGACCTTTAGCTTCCATGCCCAGCAAGCAATCGACTACGGTACTTCTCTCTTCGCAGCAATCGAAATGACACAGTGTTAATGCCCGTACAGGAACCAATGTTGTCGGTGGAACAAACCCCAAGAAGGCTGGCGAGACCCATCTCGGCAAGCCCGTCTTTGCGAGCGTCGCAGAGGCCGTCAAGGAGACCGGTGCTACTGCTTCCGCCATCTTCGTTCCGTATGTACAAGCCCGGTTTGCAGGTCTATACTTGAAATTTGGTGCTAACGCATCGACACAGACCATCCGTGGCTGCTAAGAGTATTGAGGAGTCTATTGCGGCCGAGGTGCCTCTCGTTGTCTGGTATGTTACCTCAAGATAGCTGGTATCAAGCGTTTAATCCAGTTGGCTAACATGGTGCATAGTATCACCGAAGGAATTCCTCAGCACGGTATGGCCTATGTGAATATGAATCCATTGGCGTATTCTCCGCTAATACCTTGCAGATATGGTCCGCATCACCGACATGCTAAAGTCCCAGAACAAGACCCGTCTCGTTGGACCTAACTGCCCTGGAATAATCGCTCCCGTATGCATTTCCTACCATATCCCAAGTTATACATCGTATACTAACAATTACATTGCAGGGACAATGCAAAATCGGTATCATGCCCGGCTTCATCCACAAGAGAGGCCGTATCGGTATTGTCTCCCGATCCGGAACCCTCACCTACGAAGCCGTCAACCAGACCACCCAAGCCGGCCTTGGCCAGTCTCTCGTTGTCGGTATTGGCGGTGACCCCTTCTCCGGAACCAACTTCATTGACTGCCTCCGTGTCTTCCTCGAGGATGAGGAGACCGACGGAATCATCATGATCGGTGAAATTGGTGGAAGCGCTGAAGAAGACGCCGCCGCTTTCCTCAAGAGCGAGAACAAGGCCAACAAGCCTGCTGTCAGCTTCATCGCCGGTATCAGTGCTCCACCAGGCCGACGAATGGGCCACGCCGGTGCCATCGTCAGCGGAGGCAAGGGAGGTGCCGACTCCAAGATTGCTGCTCTCCAAGAAGCCGGTGTCATTGTCGAGCGAAGCCCTGCTGCCCTCGGAAAGACTCTTCTCGCTGAGTTCGTCAAGAGAGATATGGTCTAAATTAAAGCGCCCTTGTCCCCGCCGAACTGCAGCCTTCCATCCGCCGCCCTCTCTGTACCTCTAATGCAACCTTTCCAATGTTCTGGATTATATAGTATTGAAAGCTCTAAGGGTTGTATTCTTTGCATTATCACTTTCTATGTTTTTCCTTCTCCTCTATGTTATAGTTAATTGAATAGTGCATCCCCGGAGGGAATAGAATGTCTAGCCCGGTAGACTACTTTGTATCAAAAAATATGATTTATATATCCAGTTATGACTATGATGTGTTTTCTTTGTCGGCTTCCACGCTGTGTTGATGATAAATTTCATTTGACGGGCGATCTTGCTCCGTGGTCTCATATTCCCACAATGCTGAATACAAGCTAGCTCCAGGAGTTGAAACAATCTAGGCACAGGGGCACTTTCCATAATACATTGATCCCTAGATAGTCTATATCCATGGTAAGTACTCTGTATATACTCCGTATATTCTTAAAATTCAATCTCGACCAGCTAGGTACTTTTCCTGCAGTCTTGCTATCAAAGCCTTGAGCTTGGCATAAAAGCTTGTCCGTAAATCTCATCGTAGCTAAACTTAGGGATCTTAAAACCAAAGTCCTGATGAGGTAGAGACTCTATCTAGGTAGACTTTCTCTGGAGTAACTCATGTTTATATCTTTATATCTATTTGACTTGCAAATTCATCTTGAGGTTTCCGGCTGCTCAGGCTCAGTTCATGAATTTTTGGATAGAGACGAAGCCAAAAAGGGATTATGTCAGCGCATAAAAATGTTTGCTTTCTTTGTATAATTTGCCATGTTTGCATTGAAAACTTGGATTAATAATTAGCTTCTGGAATATCAATAATCCTTGTATTACTCATCTATTACTCATCTTATCTCACGTGATAGAGCTTAAGCAAAATTCGAGATGGAAAAAGCGACGAGGAGTCGCAGTCGAGAAGACGAAGAAGCACGTCGCGCGAGAGCATCAACGACGGCAGGAAACGCAAGATGGCTCTTCACGAGTCAATGTCACAGCTCCCCAGGGCTCTATCACGGCGGTTTCAGCCAGTCTTTTCTTCCCAGCTCCCAGCATACCGTCGCAATGCCTCTTCCGAATCAACACCACCATCTCCCCTAGACGACCTCGAACCCTCCTCATCCTTTTCCACACCTCAATTGGCCGAAGAACAAATAAAAGAATTCGACCCAGTAGCCAGAAGCAAAGCTAGAAGACAGCAACTTCCACGAAGTCGGTATGTTGGCACCAGATTAGCCTCATATCACGCAGACAAACCTCCCCTAACAACTTCCATAGATACCAATATCGCTCTCCTAAATATGACCGTGGTCCTCTCAATCCTCACAGACCTCCTCCAACATCACATCCTTCGTCACGTCTCTTCGTCCCGGGCCCATTCAGCTTGACCCGCGTGGAACAGACGTACAATTCAACCATAGCCTCCGACATCCTTACGCTCTGCTACGTACATAAACCACATGGTTTCAAGGCTCCTCCTCCCCCCGTCCGCCTACGAGAATGGGACGATAGCTCGCCGTACCATAAGAACAGACCTCTCCGTGGGCCTAGAGGAGGAGACGTTCTCCGTCTGCTCAGGAAACCAATCACGTTCAACAATATTCCCGAACTATCTGGCGTGACTGTTCACACTTACGTTAAGGATGCTGTAGCGTTCGGATCCTCCTACCTGCATGTAGCTGGTATGGCGCTACAGGCCATCACGAACGTGCGAGTGAAGACTCACAAGGTTAAAACGGGTGTGCCTAAATGGGGCCTTATACCGGGCCACAAACACGTTGCTGCCACTGCTGAGTTGGAGGGAGAAGACATGTATCATTTTTTCAGCAAGTTAGTGGACGTGGTTATGCCTAAGTTCAAGGACTGGAAGGGTGTGAAGGTTACCAGTGGTGATGCGAGTGGAAATATCACTCTTGGTCTGGAGCCATCGATGGTTGCCATGTTCCCTGAAATCGAGGTTAACTATGACATGTAAGTTCCGCCCTCTTTATGCCGTGGAAATGGCAGTGATAGTGAAGGTGCTGTTTGGACTAACGAAATGTGAAGGTATCCTCCCCGCATGATTCCCGGATGCCACATTACCCTTAAGACCACCGCTCGTGCCGACAAGGATGCCAGAATGCTTCTTAACGCTCTGGGTATTCCGTTCAACGGAAAGCTCCTGAAGTAAAGAATCACTCTCTCTGTACGTGTGAGCTGTATATTATTTCAAACACCGGCGTTAGGAATGACGGAGTAGAATACGTACTTGTACCCTTACTATCCTCCTTGCTGTGGACTTACAGCACGCCCTTTACGCCATCCACTTGCATTTTACTTGTACCATAACACGCCGTCTATTAGAAGAAGAAATAAAGTGACTTCCTTGGATTTAAAATTGGGACTCTTAGATATAGCGCATTCTATCGAACACAGGTGGTAAATAAATGTAAATGACTTCCATTCGCTCATGAAACGAGATGATTAGACTAAAACCAGGCCAACCACATAATGATGGGAAATTCGTAGCTGGCATGACAAGGAGAGATATGACAAAAAAGCTGAAATGAAGTAGAAAAGGGCTAAGATGAGGGACGAAGAGCTTGGCTCTATTTTGTACAAGTTGCAACAATTGCCCGATAAGAGATTAAAAGAAAATGCAAGGGGAAATATGGATAGAAGCCAAAAATGAGACAGGAAATCGATCTTCTGGGGTATTTCTTCTACTTTTAGTTTTACCCCAGGTGTATATATAGGATATATATGTCCAGAGCAGATGAGTAAAGTGCAAATGATAAGAATTTTGGTTGCTGATAAAATCGACGTAATAGATGGCGTAGGTAGATAGGAAGGTATATGTGAGTTGGTAGAAAAGCTGTTAGGAAACATCACGTCAAGCAATGGTTTCCAAGAAAGGGTTGCTTAACAACTCATGTGCACTCGGCCGTTTCTCATGATCAATTTCGAAAGTCATGTCCAAGAAGGCCATGGCCTCTTTGCTTGCGTTCTCTGGTGGTGGTGGGCGAGCCTGGTTGTTACCAATGGCGAAGATGGCTTGTAACTGACTGCAATCCGGGAACGGGTGGACGCCAATGAACATCTCGACAACAAGACAGCCTAGACTCCATATATCGGCCTTTTTGGTATGAGCTGTTTGGCGCACGACTTCGGGAGCCATCCAGTACACACTGCCCTGGAGGGAAGGGCGGTGTAGGTGGTTTGATGGGCCTTTTGCGCCAGAGCCAAGCATGGTGGATGCTTCGACGCGTTTGGAGATACCGAAGTCAGAAATCTTGATACCTCCTTTGTTGTCGACGAGGACGTTGGCGCCTTTGATGTCGCGGTGTATGATGTCACTGGAATGGAGGTACTCGAGGCCGGCGAGGATTTGGCGAACGAAGTTACGGATGAGAGGTTCTTGGAAGGTGTTGTACTGTTTTAGCATTGTTGCGATGGACCCTCCGGGCACGTACTCGAGGAAAATGTTCAAGTACTGGTCGTCTGTGGAGGTGCCTAGGTACTGCACGATGTTTTCATGGCGAAGGCCCTGGAGGAGGCCGATCTCGTGCTTAAGGGCGGAGACCATGAGGTTCTTCTTCTGGTCGAACTCGGTACCCTTGGTAGCGGAGGGTAGTTCGACCTGTTTGACGGCCATAAGTTCTCCTGTAACGGCATGGAGAGCGAGGAAGACGCTGCCGAAGGAACCTTCACCGATCAGAGAGCCCTTCATCCAGTTCTTGTTGCCGAAGTTGTTGCCAGCGAGGAAATCAGCTAGGCCGTCGTCTACCTCGTCCCCATCCTCGGCCACGATCATGCTGAGACGCTCGCTCATGGATCCGCCGCCATCGGTTGCAGTAACGCTGAGTGTCTCATCTAAGAACGTGTGACGTTCCGGTTCTTCGATGATAGGGTTATCTGAATTATCATCAAAGGAAACATAAGATTTGCGGCTGTCCTGGATGGGAGACTCTTCCTGCAGGGGCTCCAGTGCAGATGAAGCAATGGAGTCTCGGTAAGAGGTTGAAGGGATGTTGATTCTGGAGACGGACAAGGGTCGACCACCAGCGCGGGAAGGGGGATTAGAAGGTGTGCCAGCAGATAGCCATGTGTCTGCGATGCTGGGGATCGGCGGAGCGTCTTTCATGCTCGAAGCTAGACTGACGCCGCTCATGACGGACAGGCGGCTTGCAGCTCGACTCATGCGCTGTGATCGACGGACAGACAGCCGCATGGTCTTTTCGATGTCTTCCTTCTGGTGACTGGGGAAATAAGAGGTGAGCTCGTGGATGATCATCTCACTTGGCGGGCGTGCACCAAAGAACGAGCGTAACTTGGTGCTCTGGTCACGTTCTGTGGCATCGTTATGCTGCGCACGTCGATAGTCTTCGCGTGAACGATCGGTGATGGGCGACATGGGCTGCCGCAAGTGGTCCCAGGACTCTCCGGTAAGCTTCTGCAGCTTGATCTGGTTCCGCAGGTTGGTTGTGTTCATGGCATTCATGTGGGCAACCTGGCTCTCGTCCGTAGCTAGACGAGCAGCAAGCTCAAGTTCGTCCAGATCTGGTTCTCCAGCATGAATGTTTCGCAGAATAAGACGACCGCGCTCAGACCTGTTAGAGCCATCGCATATCTGCAGTAACTCGACGTCCGAGATGCGCCTGCAGTTTGCTGGGTTCGAGTCAAGGCCGTCCAAAACGTAGAAGCAGTAGTTTTTGTAGTGGCTCTCCGGAATGAGCAGCTTCTTCAGGACGGAGACCATGATATCGTCAGCAGTCTTACACTGCTTGATGTTGAGTGCCTTGGTCTGTCCGCCGGTATGTATAACTCTGATAACGGGGGAATGGGTTGGTAGTGAGCTTATGGTGAGTCCATCGTTGCTAGGGTTCTGACGAATATGGGCTACCGTCCGGGGAGCCTGAGGCTGGTCGTTGGAGGCCGTGGTGTGTCTGGAGGTGCTGGAGTTCGAGTGAGTGTATCCAAAGTAGTTTGGTCCCTGTTCACGGCGAATTGACTCCATGGGACTGGCACCATTGTATCGGTACTGCCGGAGCTGGCGGTCAGGCTCGGCCAAGGGGGAATTAGGCCTCGACGACGGCTTTGTGGGGTTGTAGGTGTGAGTAGGAGGCTCATTGCGAGACCACTGGCGACCCGAGGGCTGGTATCGACTGCTGCTGCTGTTATTATTGTTGCTGCTTGACAGCCGAGAAGTTTCTGACGACGGTGGCGTGTATCTCGAAGCCTCCAAGGCGGCCAGCGAGTCCTTATACAGATATTAGCTGCAATGCATCGAAAAAAAACGAGGGTAAAAAGAGGCGTAGACGTACCCTATTCTTCTTTTTGCGGTATGTGATGGCTCTGTTCCGTAGCTGCTTGACGGCAACGTATATTCGGACCCGATCTCCGACCTTCTTGATGCCCATCTCCTGGAGGATCTTCTGGTCACAGTCAAGCAGGTTGTCACCCGTGAAATGGTTTGCTACGGAAGTCAGTCTCAGCCATTGATATTGAACAAGAAAAAAAGAGGTCGAGTCTAACCTTTGAAGAGGGGTTCATACTGCCCGCATCGTATGCTATGCAGCCACTCGCCGACCTTTTTCTCATCCCACGACCTGCAACGGAGAGACAACTATTAACAACCGAAACAGCAAGAAGAAGAAAAAGAAGTCGCAGTGAGGCCTACCGGACAGGGTCGAGCTGGTCTGCACCCTCTGAAAACTCGGATTCGGTGGGACTGGTGAAGAGGCCGTCCCTGGATGCGACGCCGTTGGTGGGCTTCTGGAGGGCGAGGTTTGTGTAGGACGAGGAAGCGGCGGAGGCAGAGGGAGGGAGGCCAGACTGTGGAGGCGCCATTGGGAAGCTCTGGCCGTAGAGAGCAGGCTGGGAAGTAATCATGGCCGCTGTGGCCGTGTGGTGGTAGTTAGCTTGTTGCCGGGGGGAGCTGTCTATCTATGCGTTATCGTGTCGTCAAAACTTCATGTTGGTCGAGTCGAGGCCCGAGACGGTTAACTAGTCAGGTAGGGAGTTTAACTAGTCGGTGTCGTACACGTCGCGAGGGATCTACCCTGGGCCAGCCACTAGACCTGAGCGTGCTCGACCTGGACAGAGGCCTGCATCAAGCAGTCTCCTTGTTGTGTAAAGAAGAGTCGAGGTCGAGATCGACGTTGGTGGTGAAGGAAGCAAAAGACGCAGAAGCAGAAGATGTTGGTTGGTTTCGTGTGTTGAAAGTCAAGGCCTGATTCAATGCCCGATCTGGTTAGCGGCGTTTAGCTACCTAAAGATCAGACGAAAAGACGAAAGGACGAAGATATACAGAGTGATAAAGATAGAGACGATGACGATGATAGAGATGACTGAGGCAGAGATAGAGATAGAGACGGCAGCGAGACGAAGACGAGGCTTATAAGGAGGGCCTGGCAGTGTGTGGTGCTGGTTTCCGTGCTGCGTTTCCGCTTCCCTTTCTTTGCCTGCGGTGAGGAAGCTGAAACCTCCCAGGGGCTGCTTCGAGTCGGGCAGCCGGAGATGCTGGTCAGTTAGTCCACGGTCTTTATAGATAGAGGATGGGGAGCGACGGGACGACTGGATGGGCGGATGCCATGTCTACCACTGTCTATCTCGCTGCCATCTACGCCGTACTACCGCCTACTATCGCCTACTATCACCTACTAGTCATCGCCTACTGTCTGTCTATCTATCTACCTGCTCCATCTCTTCTGTCTTCTCCGTCTTCTCGCTGTCTCGTAAGTCTCGCTGCATCCTCCATGACTAAGCGGCCCCCCTCACCAACCAGAAAACTCCGACTTCAGCTCCCCAAAGACGACGACGAAGCCGAAGACGAAGCAGCAGCAGCAGAAGGCGAAGAAGGCGAAGAAGCAGCAAGAGAGACGCCGTGATGGACGCCGACGCCGACGCTGCGGCCTCAGCAGGCCCGCGACCGCGCAAGAAGAGGGCGACGGCTGCCCGCAAGTCGCTCACCTGCGAGCACTGCAACCGGCCCTTCGCCCGCCTCGAGCATCTCCAACGGCATCTCCGCACCCGTTAGTCCTTGTCCGCCAACGCACACACACATACACATACACATACATACATATATGCACATCCAAGTATATTGTTATTTTATAGTAGACTGACGCATTGGTAGATACCAAGGAGAAACCGTTTACCTGTGAGATATGCCTCAAGTCGTTTGCTCGCAGGTGAGAGCTCTCTTCTCCTCTTGATTCCCCACCGCAATAGCTAGTTAATTCAAGGCTGACACTGATGGAGTGACCTGCTTGTTCGCCATGAGCGGCTTGTGCACCCGGCTGAGGCGGCCGCCAGGGCTGACAGGCGAGCGGCCGGAGCTGCAGCCTCTGCCGTCTCCATCTCTGTGACGGCCACGGCTGCTGCGACTGCTGTTCCCACCGCGACAGCGACAGTCGCAGTACCGGCCTTAGCACCGGGGCCAGGGACGGGACCGGGGACAGTAACAGGGACAGTAACTGGACCAGGAACGGCGGACCACCTGAACCCGACCTGGGGATACGACTTGAACCTGCTCTCCCATGCAGCCAGCCATGTAGCTCTCGAGGGCCAGGGCCAGGGGCAGGCTCAGGGGCAGCCGCAGCTTCAGGTTCACTCACAGGGACAGCTCCAAGTCCACCAGCAGCAGCAGCAGCAACAGCAGCAGGACAGAAAGCCGGTTCCAGTCTACGAGCGGCCCATCTCAGAGAACTACGGGGTCGAGCCGTCGATACTCGACCTTGCTGATCTTGGTGACCCCGTACAGGACTTCACCACCTTTCTGGAGAGTGTTGGTCTCTCCTCGGACTGGGACTCGGGTCTGTTCAATTCCGTCGAGCCTGAGCCGCTGTTGGCGACCCCTATACCCGCCCTGGATGCCTCTACCAAGCAGCAGCCGTTTTGTGCAGCTCCCAGGTTCACTCAGGAGCTAGACTCCCGGAGCATCGCTCAGCCTGCTCAAGCAGCAACTCCAACTGCTCCACTTGCTCCAACTACAGCTGCGGCGGCAGCAGACGAAGCACCCTCGTTTTCAAATTTTGGCTCTCGATTGCCCTCTCTCCAGCCAGAAGCCCAAGACTCTGATGCAGGTGCCTCGGAGCAAAACTCCCAGCCCAGGCCGGCGTGGGATATTTCTACCCAGGAACACCAGCTCTTCACTGCCAGACTAGAAGACTTTACCCACGTTTTCCCCAAGAACTTCGCGCGGCCTTCTAGACATGCCCTCTCCCGCTACATGGCTGGCTACATTAGCGGTCTCAACGAGCACTTGCCTTTCATCCATGTTCCAACTCTCTCCGTGGCCAGGTGTCCGCCAGAGTTGACTCTGGCCCTCGCCGCCGCAGGCTCTCACTACCGGTTCGAAAACAGCAGGGGAATCGAGCTCTTTCACGTTGCAAAGGCAATTTTACTAGAGCGTCTTCGGCGTCTAGATTCCAGGCGTACCGCTCTCCCACCTAACCCTTGGTGGGTTCCCAACAGTGCTACTCCTCGAGCTACTTCGT